TTTACCAACAACATCCTAGTAAGGTATTTTGTAAAAATTTGATAGTTTTGTTTTTCGATGTTTGCAAATGTTGTATATTCCGTTTAAAGGTGATGCAACATTTGCAAACATCAAAAAACAAAAGTGCTAAATTATTAAGAAATGCCTTACTTGACTGTAAGTGAATAATAGCCTCTAGCATCCTGTTAAATAACTAATTTCACAAAAATTCCACTTTTCTTGGAAATGACAGCACACCAGGTGCCACGATTTCACAGGATGCTTCAGACTTTTATTCACTTACAGTCAACTTGGGCCAAAAAAAAGTATAGTTCTGCTTCCGATTACATGGGATTTGAAAATAGGGTAGGTACATGTACATTGTAGGTAGGGAAATAATTTTTTTTGGCCAATTTTGTGTGTGTATGATCATATGGAGGCGTCTGCGTGTAGTCAAGGGTATAAGGTAGAAATTGATGGTTTTGGGTGTTTTTCTCTCATTTTTCCCATAAAAAAATAGGGTAGGGGCTGTCAGAATAGGGTAGGTAGGGAAACCAGAAGCAGAACTTCAGTATTATTTTTATTTTGGCCTTAGAATGTACGGTATGTAAGTTATTTCATAATAATTTGGTAGTTTTGGTTTTTGATGTTTGCAAGTGATGTAAAGTACATTGTACCTTTAATCAATTACATATTTTGATTTTGTACCGGGATCTGTCCCTACTTTCCAGTTGATTGAGCAGATCAAATTTCCATGAATACAATCTGCTAGTGGCAACCATATCAATTAATATTGTTTGATTATGCCTATCATAAACTGCCTTTATTACTTTTCAGTTAGATAAGATTGCGTGGACTGGTAGAGACGGGTTCTGTTGATAAAATGAATTTCATTAACAAGCATTGAAATTGCTGCATGGGTTGTTGCTGAATTGGTTTTGGGGCGCTTTTGAATGAAACAAAATTAATAAAAACTGGTAGATGGAAAATTGGCTTATTTATTACAATGTTCCCACGGTCATGGAAAAATCATCAAAAGTCCTGGAAAAAAGTTGTCCTGCAAAGTCATGGAAAAGTCATGGATAATTGGAAAAAATACAGTAAGGGTTAATTTTGATGGGCCGCTTTATAGGGAAGATGTATACAACATTTGCAAACATCAAAAATGGATTGTTAGGGAATGACATTCTAAAGCACCCTGTAAAATCGTGGCTCCTGGTGTGCTGACTTTTTCAAGAAAACTGATATTTTTCCAACACTGGTCGGCCGACAAAAACTGCTCTTAATTTTTCATAATTACATGTAGTTTTCCCGTATTTTCTTTGCAATTGATTACACACCTGTGAAGGGGTACAGTACAAGCCTGCCGGACTGATTCTCTGACCTTACAATTCCCCAAAGTCGACAAACTGCTCTGTTTCATCTTAAGTGGGGTCAGGGAATCAGACTACAACAACATGATGTTTTTCTTGTTTTTTCCAGCATCTTTAAGCACAAAACGTGAAACAAGTCAGTTTAACAATATTTGCTATAACATTCTAATCCCCCAAATCCACTTACATGTAGGCCTACTACTGACAATTGCAGCAAGAGCAAATGATGTACATGTACATTCCCTTTAAGGATGGCTGTAAGGGGAGGAGGAGGCCATTATTTATTACAACTTGTTTTCAAAAGCTAACAAATGGTTAGCCTAACATCAGCGGTTCATCAGTATCATAATACCAATCAACTTTTCTCTGCAAAATGGCGTAAATGTCATGGTAATTGACATTTTAGTCCTGAAAAGTCCTGGAATTTGGTTTTCAGATATCTGTGGGAACCCTGTTATTATTGACCAGTTTTGTTATATTTATTTTTTGAAATGAGGTTCCCAGCAAGCAAGCCCCCCCCCCCCTCCCCATAACAACAAAAAAGTGCACAGAGTTAGGGATAACATTGAAGTTGTGATGTGCAGTTCTTAAATCAAATGCATAATTTGGGGAAAAAATTGACACCATATTCTTTTACCATTAAGATTGAATTTTACCGTCCTCTCTGGAAGTCAACTGCGGAAGCCCCTAAGTTCAACCATGAAGACTAATTGCAGTTACCGGTTGGACTTTCAGGATGTTCACTCCATGGAAGTCACAGTTCATGCAAACTGGGACACCCGGTTGGACTGCTCCAGTTTGACGTGGAGTTTCACATTCAGAACTCGCTTATTTTGATACACAGTTCACATTTTACACACATGCAGATTAAATCAAAACATATTTCACAACTTGATAAGATGTACCTAGACTCTATTTTTCCAGACTGAGTTCATCTGATCTGAAATGGAGCAAATACTGCAGACCTTTTTCTTCCTGTGTGTATTTGCACAGCAGTGGCGGCGCCAGACTCTAAATTTTTGGGGGGTGGGGAGCAATTGGAGGGCATGGAAATATTTTGGGAGGGGGTAGTCAAAATAAAATCGGATGATATCCAAAATCTAAGGGGAAAGTAAGGAAGAGCCCAATAAATAAATGGCAACTTAAAGCCTGTGTACGCGCGTGTGCCATTGTCAATGGTCCGGAAATAAGCCCACTATAGAGCAACTTAGAAGTGTATCAATCTGCAGAATGTATAACATGTACAATGTACAAAGACACTGGCTGCACACTATCTACGGCTGTGTTAATGCATGTGTGGCGTGTTTTGTCTACCAAAGTACCAATGTTTATAATGCTTTCATTGGTTTAAAATGTGTCCACAAAACCGATGATTCACTGTCATTCTCCAACTTGTTATGAATCTTAACAGCGAAGAAAATAAACATAATTACTATATTTGTAGATAAAGCGTTGAGGGAAACTGGGGGGGGGGGGGGGGGAGGAAACAACAAGGAAATGCCCTCCCCATGCCCCCCCCCCCCCCCCCCCCAGTGCCGGAACTGTTGCACAGTGAATCAGCAATTAACAACAATAATACTGCATGTGTCTATATAGACCTATAGAAATCTGTAGGGAAAAACCAATAGAACCTTGAACTTCCTTTCTGCAATGACCGATGTGTACATGTACGTACATGTAGTATGAGCTGCAACACAATTCTGTTGAACTAGATACATGTACATGTATGTGGTTCAGGATGCCATTCCCGTACCCAGCTGTTCTGTGGTTTTTAAGTAATGTTGTTTTTGTCTCAGCTTGTACAAATATCCACGCTCTTAAAACGCAGGAAAAAATTTAACAAAAAAAAGGAAGTGGTTTTTAAGCAATTTTTTTTGTCTCGGCTCGAAAAAAAAAAATGCTCTCGAAAATTGAAAATAAAAATTGAACAAATAAAAATGAAATGTTTAATTAATTAAAAAAAATATTGAACAGTGTAATGGATGTGTTCAGTGTTATTACGATATTTTTGGTTTTGTACATGTACCAGTACATTTGTAAGAACGTAAAGCCCATTTCTTAAATAACTTATTAAAGAGAAAATATTTTGCAATCAAAAATAGAGATCCTTAAGAAAAAGCTTGTGTAGGACTTTAAAACCTTGTCACTGGGACATATGATACAGTCTTGTATTTGATGTTGGGATTTAGTCAATGCTCCAAGGGAATTTAGTTTGGTTTGAAGTTGTATTAGTCACCTAGTGGCTAGGGGCACTAGGGGTACCCGGGTACCCAACCGCTGATGTCAGGAACCGTTTCCAGATTACGGGATCAGGTACCTGTAACCAACTTTACAAATTACTTAGTAGCTGTTTAGACAATGAACAAGAAAGGCTTTAAACGCCATTTGTGGGAATTTTCAAAATGAAAACCAGACTTCATGGGAAACCAAAACAGATTTCACGTTTATGTGCATTTTGCATTTTTTAAAGAGCGACAAATGACGCTTGTGAATATTGCAGTTTACACTGTAAAGCCATAAAGCTCTTATGACAACTTCCAGAATTGGAATTGTGGGGTTTGGTTTCTTTCACGGGTACCCGTGTTTTACTTCAAAAGGGTACCCGGTTCCTGCGCAAACCGTAAATACTCACCTGGCCAGAGACCATTATTTGGTTATCAGACCTCAGAGCACTATTACTTTTCTGACATGTCTTGAGAGTGCATGCATAATTCAATAGCTCACCCATGGATGTCAATGTAAGATTTTGCTTACTGGTGCACCGTTATTGCCTGTGCTGGGATTTGGGGTGCATAATCTAATAGTTCTTTGTAGAAAGACAGTGCAAGATGTTGGAGGTGTGTGCAAGTATGCATTAAATATAGGTCACCTCCTCACAGCTGATTGTTGAGGAGCTAACTGAAAAAAAAAAATCAAATTTCAGCATCCAGCATCTAATATGATAGCAGTTTTTATTAGCATGGTGTTTTTGTTCTCCAAATTGTGAATGTACATTTGTACATGTACAAAGTATGCTCTTTCTTGCAAATAACAAGAGAAAACAGCTGACGTAAAAGAATAAAATAAACAACAGAAATTTCACAGCGGATTTTATAGAATGTGTGTATGTACATGTAGCTGTTATAAGTTTTGCCTGAACAAGAGACAAACTTGATGTGATGATGGACATGAAGTTTGTTTCTTTGTTTCAGTTTTGAGAGTTTGAAGGGAAAGTTCTCTTTGACGCTGGTTTAAAACCAGCCTGCTATCGGAACAGTCACAGACAGTCGAAATATCAATCCTCCTCATATGCCATGCCTTTTACACCTAGGCTAGTCACCAACAGTCGAAACACATTTCATGCAAGCACTACATGTATATGACTAGTCAAATTCAGTCAACAGACAAAAGCAGATAAGTGGTACATGTAGGCACAGCTGGCTTATCAATCACCTACAGTCAAAGCATAGCTGTATCAAGTTACAGTCACAGCCAGTCAATCCTACTTTACGTGCCGGTAGGTTGGGAGATCTCAACTGTTAAAAACAGTCACTTTACTGAGTTTGACTGAAAGGACAACTTGGCACAGAATGTACCGTTATGTTTGCATCTAGGAGGGTGCATTAATTTGTTGAGATTTATTGAGTTTCCCTTTTTTTTTCCACACAGGGCTTACTCAATGGTGGACTCTTCCCGAGTGTCAACGTTTGTCATTTCCATCTTGCTCATTGTCTATGGGAGCTTCAGGTAAGCACTGTGTCCTGTAGGTTTGATTGCCCTTATGCACACCCGCTAGAGGGCGCCACAGATGTTTTAGGCTCTTGTGAAACTGTATGGCTGGCAGTTCATTTAGTGTGATTTGGAAGATTTAGGAGATGTTGGTTACATCTCTTGCATCTGGGCTGAAACTCATTTGAAACTCGGTCTGAAATTGGCCCCATGTCTTGACCTCGATGACCTTTGAAAATAAAAAATATTAAGTATTTCTGTTGTCAAGTCAAAGACCTAAAAAACGAGAGTTGGCTGCATTCTTTGGGAGACAGACGACTAAGGTTCTTAGTTCAACCCTGGACAGACCTCAAAAGCAAGGAAAGTTCACTGAATAAAAAGTGGGTCAAGCTTTGCCCTGTATTCATCAACTACAGGTGCTGTAGTGTGATAATGCCCAGAGGTAAACTGCGGTTTGCAAACTAATCCCACAAGGGCTGCGAACATAATTTACAGAGGGCCTATAGCCGGTACAAATTGGAAGAAATGCAAAATTGACTGAGCCAGGGATCAAAAAAAAGAATTTGAAACTTGATTTTTTTTTGGGGGGGGGTGTAACATTACACTTTTATTAGAGAGTAACAGAAGAAAAAAGGATTTTTCAGAAAGAAAATTTTGCACACGCTGAAAAATGAAGCATGGCCAAAGGCGTCAGAGTTGGCTAGAACGACAGGTGTTGGGTCCTCTGTGTGCTTTGTTGAATAAGGTGGCACTTTGTCCAGTAGTTAACTGTATGCGCACTGTGAGCTGATGTCTTGGCTCCAAACAATATTGTAGATCTCGAGTCCAGGACTTGAACTCGAGTCTGTATCTAGACCTCGCGTCACAATTTAGGTAACTTGGACTTGATTTGAATTCAGCAAAAGACTCGGACTCGGACTTTGACTCAGACTTTGACTCGGACTTGGACTCGGACTTTGACTCAGACTTGGACTCGGACTTTGACTCAGACTTGGACTCGGACTTGGACTCGGACTCGACCATCATGACTCGGACTTGACGCTAATGAATCGTGTGTATAACTTGAGACTCGGGTCAGACTTGACTCGGGTGACTCGAGACTCGGACTTGGACACTCAAATAACTCGACTACAACGATGGCCCAAAATGGTGCATGCTGGAGATGGCCAGTGAATATCTTGGCTGGTTAATTTGGCTTTGTTTTATTTCCATCTAATTCAGCCTTTTTCGTAAGTTGGGTAGAATGCATTGTCCTGATGCCTTTTGTTAGCATTTAAACCTTGATTTTTGAAGAAAAAATCATAACTTCGGATTTATCGAAAAGTGTTTTAAGTTTGTTAAAAATTGGTTTGTAAATTCACAATTCCCCATAGACTTTGTAGACATTCTTCACTTGTGTGTACTGACAAAGCACTGCTACTGATATTTTGTTATTGAATAAGACTTGAAACTTTGTAAGGTCAAGGATGAGTTATTGTACTCAAGGAATTTTTTTTAAAAAATAATGAAGGTTAATTATTGACTGTAGGGTTCTTGGATCCTGTTCAGGTACCAATTTGATGGAAAGAGCCACTTCAAAGTCTTTGTAAATGGGTTGGAGGGGATTCCACAAACGTTAATGTAATACAACCTTACCTTGAGAGAAACTGAGGAAGTGCAATATCCTTGTAAGAAGTATTAAATTTCCTTGGGGTCAAAACATCAATACACCAGGCTGCCCTTGTAAGTTTTCTGAGAGCTACTGTGAGACCAAGGTTGTTATGCAAGGTTAATGACGGAGGTTAGTAATCATGGGCAGTACACGGTGGGAGGTTGTAGCCTCGATTTCTGCTACAGCTTACAGTTTGAAGTGAGCAGTCGCTCTGGAATTTCCTGGAGAGACAGGATTAATGTCTGTTGCCGGATTCACAAGAGATGCTACACTGCGCTGCTGAGTGGAGTGGGTTTCAAGGGCTGCACATATACATGTATCTGCTTCATGTACATGATGTACATGTATGTGTAGTGTTTGCACAGCATGTTACAACATATATATTAACCCCTGGCTCATCTGGACTGCAAGGCATTCCTTAAGACATTTCAGTGTGCTCCCCGGGGAGTATTCAGCTTGATTTTTGTGAAAAGAGCCAATTCAAATGTAACATTCTCTGCACTGTCAGATGCTTTGTACCCAGGTATTACTGGGTTGGGGAATTTGGGGCAAATATTTGAGTAACAATTTAATCTTGTACCTAAGAACACATGCCTAGCTGCATCTGAAGATTGTGCACTGAATTTGCAGTCTTCGAAATTATCAACAATCTTAAATTTGACATGTAAAATTGTAAAGGCTTGAACCGCTTGAACTTCAAATGTATCTTAGAAACTTTTCGCATAAATTACTCTGTACATCCACATTGTGAGCTAAATTATAAAAATAAAAATTCACTTAATAAAAAGAGTCACAAAATGAGCTGCCCGATAATCACGGCAACTATTGTTGTGAAATAAATTTATTATCAAATGCACTATCGAGTTCAATTATATCTATTCACAGCTCTGGAGAATCTAAACCTGATGATTTCCTTTGTCATTATGTTTTTTGTAAAACGTTGAACTTACAGTTTATGTGTAATCTTTCTTGATATTACCGATTCATACTGCAAATACATGCACATGAACACATTTGGTTTCATCTGTGCCGTGAAATGTGGCCGTCCCAGTTGTATCCAAGAAATGACTGTTTTAGTGTTATTTTTCTCGCTATAACTGGTCCAGATTGCAAATAAATGAATAATAGTTTGCACAAGAATTTACAAATAACGGTGTGCGCTCAGCTGCGCCCGTGAAATCTGGCCGTCCCGGTTTTAATGAGCAGCGCGACCAGCGTGGGCCTTCATGCGTGGGCCTTAAGGTTTCTGTACTCGGTGATGCACATCTCAACATGCAAAGTTCTATGGAGGTCACATCACTGGACCATGCATTCTGCATAGTAAATTAGCAGTCATATGTTTATGGGAGAATTTATACAAGTTGCACCATTACAAGTAAAGTGCATTCAATGTATGTGACAAGTCAATAAAAATAAAAGGTTACACCACTGTGCAGTGTACTACATGTAGCACTGGTACATTTCTACATATGGCATGGATTATGTACTTTTTGGAATAAAGTGAAATAAAAATTTTAATGCAGACTTGCAGAGTGTATTTTTTAAGCTAATACCGGTAGGTTGCACTGTAGTGTTACCGGTACATTGTATTTATAATGGGAGTCAACTTAAACAATTTTTTTAGCTTGATTGCTTTTGAAACGATTTGAGTGCTTTTCGAAATTAAAGATGTACCGATATTATCTACCAGTATATTGTAGACATGTGTGATTTTTAGATAAATGTACCGGTGTCATATGAAAATCAAACTCGTATGAAAATCTGACTCTTTTTCCCTTTTATTGGTTAAACCCTCTCACGTGACCGGTCCCCCTCCTAATTATCTATGCATGAGCATGCGCAATACCACCAAAGAGTCCGTATTTCATAAAACCTAAATTCATGCTACACCGGTACACATTGAGTTTTACATCATGGACAAATTTCAGCATAAAAAACTTCAAATCTTGCAATTTCTACTTACTTTTGTAAAAGCAAAGCATTAAGATACTCTTGGGGTTTTGTTGATGCATTAACTTAAAAATTCTATTCTTTTTTTTTTGTCTTCTGAAAAACTCAGGACGCCTCTTGAGAATGCGTCTGAAGGTTCAGGATCTAACCAATTTATACCTGTTTATTTCCAATCAATTGGAAATCTAGGTTATCGTGCTCTATTTACAATGTAATTTAGGAACTTCAGTCGTCATTTCACGCAGTGTGTGGGAAGAAAGGATGAATATTTGATGTGTACTCTTGCAGAGTGTGCACGCACACAGAGAGTGCACCTCTACTAAACACGCACACATACATTTTGTACATGTACACTATGCTCAAGTTACGGCCATCTTGGTATAATCTAACAGTCCCTTGTGACTAAATCTCTGCTTTTTCAGTGGCTTTATGCTGCAAAAGGCAATCTACATGTATCCGTTTACAATTGAAGATAATCATACGGTAGATGATACTCATTTGTAGTAATTGTACAGATGTAGATTATATGGCTACAGGTTGCATTGTATTAATTTTAGTTATTTTGTATTTTTTTTATTATATTGATTTAATTAATTAATCTACTGGTATCTATATATGTATTTATTAAATAAGTATTCTTTTCTTCTGACTGGATTGGTCTTCTGACTTTTTAATTGCCACTTGTGCGATATCTACTCCCACACTGATAAATTAAAATACCAGATTTTAGTTTGGAAAAATATGGCATTATTACACAGTCACAGAAAAATTAGCAAAAAAAATGAAATAATTTTGAAAATGTTTCCGCCAGCAGAATGTGAAATGGTTTTTTCATGGCAACTGATATTCATACATAAGCAGTGTGTTAAACATGCACAAATTATGTAATATATTGCCAATTTCGACCGGTACATAAATATATGAAAATATCAACAAATGGTCAATTTCAACCAATATTCATAAATACCTAAGACAGTTTACGCATTCCTATTGGTCGAGAGCCCGTCACGTGGCCGGTCTTAAACGGATGATAAAGACATGGCTAGCTGGTCTTAAACACTTTTCCAGTGTCACAATAAAATGTGGACTCCTAAAAATCCAGTGCCTCTTATCGTTTCATTGGTTGAACGTTCACAATCCTCACGTACAATGTAGGCATGCGCAACACTACCAGGGAGTCAGAATTTTATAGTTCTAAATTCAAAACGCAACGCGCCAGGTGCGTTCTGCACGACATCGCGCAGAACATGATACGCGCGCGTCAATCTCCATAAAAGGGTTGTTTACATCTTACTCGCCAGCTGAACACTCCATTATTTTGCAAGAGGGATGTTTCCTAAACCGCCATAAAGTAATCCCCCAATTTGGCACATGTATTACACCTTATGGTTTTGTAATTTATCCAAAAAGAATGAATTCAGTTAAGTAACTCATTCCAAAACAATGTTCTTTTTATTTGTTTAATTTAATTAAGCACAGAAATCCCTAGAAAGTCAGCAACGACAGTTTCATCTCAGGAGACATCGAAAGGTCATCCGAAAGGGATCTTTGGTTTGATTAGACGTAGACATTGGCCAGTAACCTCCCAGATGTCAACAGGGCTGTAGCGTCAGCTTATTGAAATAAAAAAAAAAAAACTCCCCTGATTGAAATGCAAGTCCTTGCAATACTGCCTGCGAGGCCTGCATCCACACAATGAGTGACATTCACTGAAGCAATTTTATTTGCGAAGATGTGTGGCTAGTCTTACAGGCTACAGTGTATAAAGTAGATTTATCATGTCAGTCATGCCGGTCTACAGACACAATGGGCAGACGTCACCCTTTGTGAAATGGCTCAACGTTTAAACGTTTAATCAGTTCTTAAAGCATTTGCTAAACGTGTACAAAATTAAACGCAAAGTCACATCCTTCGATTGCGTGGAACTGTGTCTGACTTGAATGGTTAAACTCAAAATTGTTCAACTTATTTCCGAAAATACAACTGACAGGCCTGTCGTTTCGTATTTAACTTTGAATAGAAATGGTAATGTGCCTAACACACTGTGAAATATTTCTGTCCAGAATGCTTTCTTCTTTTGTAGAAAATAGTGAATGTACTGGTACATGTGTGAGTCTCCACACTCCTTTGGGATTCATGGTTGTTTACATGACACTTGTTTTGCTCAGCTTGCTCGCATATCTCTCCTGAGGCTAGGGATGCTCTCCAGTTTTTCACTTGTAAAAAGTACCTTCAGGTAACAGTATAGCCATGCAAGCGCAGCTGCATGCAGATTACCAATTTGCCGCGCTGATATGCATTTTCTGTTCCTTGTGGTATTCCATACCGTACTTCATTTTATCATGCATCCATGTACGTGTAGGTACATACATGTACACTGTATTTTGTCATTCACCCTGTACGCGTAATTTTTTATTCCTAGGAGGGTTAGGGGCAATGTCATGAATAATTCATGTTTATCCATGAGAACGGACAATGACATCAACAGCATTGTTGTTAGTTACTCAACTAGTTACAATACATTAAAGCATTTTAAAGAACGGTTGTCGTCGAGCTACCACACAGTAGCCTAGTGGATAGCGAGATGAGCTATGGATACAAAGATCCCTGGTTCGAATCCACGTCGTCGCTGCTCATTTTCATCAGCTATTTTTCTTCTCCAAATTTATCACTGAGATAGTTTTTAATTAATTAGGGAAAATAGAACGAGAACCTAAGTCTTGCAATGATTCAAAGGAAAAACTGAATTATTCATGACATTGCCCCTAACCCTCCTAGGAAAAAAAATTACGCACCCTGTACAACGCCAGAAGTAAAAAGAAAGTACCGTTCTTGAATACATTTTAAATTGGAACATTTTAACAATGCACGCCCACGGGTACATGTAAGTTTTCCAATAAATGCATGACAACAGGAACGGTCCAACTCCACAATTTTAGCTACATTTTTTAGTCCCAGCAAGTTATTGCTGAAGTGCTTCCTTTTACATAAAAAGTTCCAAAATCCACACTCCAAAATTTCTATTTTTAGGTCAGGGGAGCTACTACTATAATTCCTGCCCAACTTTTTTGAGTTTTGCAATTGACCGAAAAGCAGTAAATCTAAAACTAAGACCCAATCCGAAACGGGGTTGTTGTCAGTGGCTACGGCCGTGGCTACAAACATCACATGAGGATCGTGATGGCGCGCGGTTGAACGTCCAATTAGCCAGGCTGTCGTACGTGGCTGGCCCGCCTGCCTTTATACCCGAGTCGATCTGGTTGAGCTACTCGAACGCACCCAATATATTATTTTGATGATGTAGATACATGTGCTTGGATATTGAGAAGTACATGTATATGATGTAGCTATGGTTCGTGTCTCATGACCAGACAGTCGGGGGTTCAAATCCAGCTGTGGACCACGTGTTGTGCCCTTGGGCAAGCCACTTCACCGCACTTGCTTTTTACCACCCATGAGTTTTGGGTACTGGCATTAGCTGGGGAGTAACCTCCATTCAACCGGCATCCCATCCAGGAGAAATAGAAGTATTCTCAGTCATTTTACACCAAGGAATCTAAAGATAAACACTGGCCTGATGAACTCTATTGCCTCAAGAAAAACTTGGACTTACTTTTAAATCAAATATAGAGTAACTGTCAGGTACTTTATTCACTATTATCTTTCCATTGCTAAATAGGCGGCAAAATCTTGACAATCATCTACTGCACTTAACCCAAAACTGTATCTCCCCGTGAAACACTTTGTTTGAATACGTCCACAACTCTGGAGGCGTAATGTCCATTTCTAGGGAAATCGCTTATAAAAAAATCTCCACCTGGGGTTAAACTCTTAAGAGACTTTCTTTTTAAAGCTGTGAAGTGATCAGTGTCTTCGTAGATGGGATTTGATCGGGGAAGGAAACAAGAGTGTAAACCAATGCTGCGTGGGTAACTGTGCCAAGGCTTGCCAAGGGATGATAGTCTTAACATCCTGACTGACGATGACAAAATCGTCATCTGGCCAGGCCAAAATGAAATCATGTATCTCCCCAACCAATCTACTAATTTTTTTATAAAATTTGTACACATTGAAGAAAATTACTGCGAATCACAATTTTTGCAAGCTTTGGTTTTAATTTTGTTTATAAATATGTTCCATTTAAGAAAGTTGCAAGCATGATAGTTTTTATTACTAAAAGTCCAAAGTGCATAACCATTGATATAATCAGAGTATTATTTTAGGGGACAAAAATATGGTTTCCCAAAGTTTGTCTAGTTTTGAGGGGTATCTTACTGGAAGTGTTAAGGGAATACATTTGTTTTGTATGCGGAGACATGCATCTGTGCATTGATAATTTAAAACAGTCATAAGATGGAATTTGCGTCGAGGTGATGTAAATCAATAGAAGACCAACTACATGTACTGATTCTTACATTTCCTTTTAGTCAGAGAATTATTTGCATTAAAAGATGGCATGTTCAATAACATCCTGCTCTGACAAAAAGTTGTGGTCAGATAGTGTTTGATTGTTCCCCTTTCAAAGAACTCACCTGGTCTGTGGTCATGCAGTGAACTTGGGGTCATTGGATGTCAGTAAAGGTCATGGTTCTCATCACACAGAGAGAGCCACTCTGACAGTGGCTGATTCACTGTACGAAATACCCCTTGCTGCTGATCAGGACTCTTGCCTGGCAGGGTTTAGCTCAGTTTCCGTTCCAAACAGCATGAGCCTGTTTGGGGTAAACGCCCAGCATTTGGGTTTCAAATTCAGTGAACGAATAGGCTCATGTATGTGTGGGGGGGGGGGGGGCATTGGGCACAGTTAGATTTGCAGACTTTTGAAAAATTTGTGTTCTTTTGAGATTTTACCAAAGTGACTTTGAGACTTTTTCTTCACTGAAGAATGTGACTTGAGACTTGACGTTAATACAATTTGGATATCTGATTTGAGACTTGACCAGAGTGATTTGAGACTTGACCAGAGTGACTTGAAACTGGACCAGAGTGACTTGAGACTTGACCAGAGTGACTTGAGACTTGACCCCAGTGACTTGAGACTTGACCCAAGTGACTTGAGACTTGACCAGAGTGACTTGAAACTGGACCAGAGTTAATTGAGACTTGACCAGAGTGACTTGAGACTTGACCCCAGTGACTTGAGACTTGACCCAAGTGACTTGAGACTTGACCCACTTGAGACTTGACCAGAGTGACTTGGGACTTGACCAGAGTGACTTGAGACATGATCAGAGTGACTTGAGACTTGACCAGAGTGACTTGGGACTTGACCAGAGTGACTTGAGACTTGACCAGAGTGGCTTGAGACTTGACCAGAGTGGCTTGAGACTTGATCAGAGTGGCTTGAGACTTGATCAGAGTGACTTGAGACCTGACCAGTGTGAAAACCAGAGTGACTTGAGACTTCAGGAGAGTGACTTCAGGCCTGACCAGAGTGAATTTAGATATTATTACACAAGACTTGGCCAGAGTTTATTTAAAACGATTTGATGAATTTGGAGCCCTACAGATGCCACAAGACATTTACTGTGTTCACTAATTTACATTTTCCTATTTTATTTTTTTGTCTAACGTGGTAGGTCTTTAAACATGGACCAGGAGGAGAAGGAGAAGAATTTACGAGAAGACAAGGACCCTACCGCTCAGAGTCCAAACCCAAACGCACCAGTCGCAAGTGAAAATGGTAAGGCACCCCACTAAAATAGTCAGGCTCTTGGGTCATTGCTCTCCCTGGCCAAAAATTATGCACCAGGTGCTAAGGTAATGCTTGTGTGTATAAGGTTGCAAGCAGCACTTTAATTTGCACTACAGTACTTCCTGGAAAAATTGCATGACATTTTTTTTGGCTTTTATACTTCAAAGTTATTACAAAGTCAAATTTAGGCCGAGTTAAAAAAAATGAGTAGTTTCTCGTTCGGTCTTTCTGAAAAAATGAACAAGGTGGCGTTTTTTTGTTGTCGTCTTTTTTTTTCGTTGTCGTCTTTTTTTTTTTCCCCAAGATGGCAGATTTTCCAAGAAAGCGGAGGGATTCTTCAATTTTCTCGACCATTTCTCGACCATTTTGCCGATACGGAATTGTGTCCCAAGGAGCCATAACCTTTTTTCTACATAGCTACAATTTTTTTAGGAAACAAATAAAAAGAGAGTATGTGCAAAATATATTGTAAACGTATGAATTAAAAAATAAGGGGGAAAAAAGAAGAGGCGGCCAGGGAAAAAAAAGGAAGCGGTCGGGACGGGAAACTGGTTTATCTTTTCACTTGGCCTTATATCAGGCAGGTCAGTGAATCTATCTAAATTTCAAATGTTTCAGTTTGATTTTACATGTAAATTCATGCTAAAAATAAATGAATTTAAACTAAATAAAGCTCAACTAAAACACAAAAAAATAAAAAGAGAGCCGAACGTTTTAATCCCAGCAGGACCCATTTTTCCTTCCGTGACAAATGTCCTAGGATCAAAACGTTAGGCCCTCTCACTTTTTTTCTGATTTCTATATTACAGGTCAATCCTGTTTAGTAAGAAGTTTGCAGCAATTTTATTCATTTTTGTAATAACAAGAACAGAAAACTGAAAATGTAAAGAAATGCAGTCGGTCAGATTCACAATATTAATGGCCTTATTTCGTCAATTTATCACCGTGTTTGAGTCTCGGGAATTGATTTTTCATTGTGGACCCTGCCTTTAATGCAAACACTATCACATGACAGCAGTACACAGTATAACACCTCACCAACAGATTCTGTGTCTTGATTGGCCGAGAGTGAGCCACATGTTATTCGTTATCACTCGCTATCTTGCTGTGCACAACCAAAAAGACTATACGCATAGCAATCAAGAAGATACATGTACGTAAAAAAAACCCCCAGAATGTATACATTTGTAAAACAAATATTGACTGCTTTAACTTGTGGAACATTCTATTTTCAGAATACTATAGTAAAACTAACCTCCCTCAGCATTCTATTTTTCGCCTCAGGAAAAATACTCCATGGATCACCTCGGGAGGCTATTTTTACTATGCCACTTGAAACAGTCAATATTTGTATAATATGTACTGCATCGTGCGCCGCTGTCATGTGATAACGCAGTGCTGCACACATGTACATTTCCACCACAGCTGTATTTGTAGATGCGCAGTATTCGCTCTTTTCCTTATCATCGTTGTTTACTTGTGTCAGTGACAACTGACTTCCATTTTCATTTTGAAAACAAAATAGATGATTTTATTTTAAACTAGTTGACAGTGCCTTGTTTTTGTGTAAATGTTGTCACGGCTAGTACATAGTAATTGTATTACAGGCAATATCGTCTACTCTTCCTGAATTTATTGCTGATGAATTGAATTTGAAGAATGTAATACATTTTTAGGAAATTTTGTTTTGTACCCGGTACATTGTATTAAAAATGTGCAAACAATTTTATGTTTCTCTCTATCAGATCAGTGTTTCAAGCACTTGCAAACATGTAGAATACATTTTCTTTTGGCGGAATAAGCATATCAAAAATCATGTTGACTATCTGAGTTTAAAAACAAGATTCTTGAATATTGTTTTTTTTTTCGGAATACACAGAATTCACTGAGCTAAAAGTTCATTAGGTATGTTGTTAAGCACCCTTCATTAGATTTTGAGCACTTGTGTTGCTTGAAACGAAAAAAAAACACGTTTGACAAATGATGCACTCTACCTTTAAAGGGAAAATACAACATTTGCAAACATCGAAAAATAAAACTACTAAGTTTTGACGAAATACCTTACTAGGATGTTGGTAAATGACAGTCTAAAGCATCCTGTAAAATTATAGCACCTGGTGTGGAGTCATTTTCAAGAAAATGGTATTTTTGTTTACATTTCCAACGGTGGTCGGCCGACCACCATTGGGAAAAACCTAACTATTTTTCAACTATTGCTCCAAATTTACCATTTTTTTTTCAGTCCAAATTTTGTTTGCTATCTGTTAGTGTTACATGTTCATGAACGGGTGAAGGCCAGCTAGACTGGTTCCCTTACCTTACAATTTTCTGGCATCTACAAATTGATCCATTTCATTTTTAGTGGTGTCAGGGAACCAGACTACTTGAACATTTTTGCTTTGTTTGTTTTTTTCCCAGCATTTGCGAACACAAACTTCAAACATGTCAGTGTAACATTATTTGATCTATTATAGTACTAACCCCTCACATAGTTCATTTCTGAAAATTACAGTAAAAGCCAATGATGTATATCTGTACCAACCATGCAAAAGACCTTGTACTGATAAGGTCACGGAGAGTATGGTACGTACAGTTGTACATGTTGTGCTGTAGTGTACACACAAAAATGTACATACATGTACCGTACATGTACATGTACATGTAACTCTATATTGAGTTGGACTTCCTGTGTTGTTGTAGACAAATGTAGGGTAGGCAGGGCTGTGCAGTACATGTACCGGTACGTGTTCACATCCTCGATCGTGGACGTCCTATTGTCCCTCTTTTGTTTGTACTCTAACTTTTTAGGAAGACTCCCATAGGTTTTGTACAAGACCCCAATCGCAGATGTATTCTGGGAATTGTGGACGACATTGTTCTCTTTTGTTCTCTGGAATTTTTAGTCCACGGCTGAATAGATAAACACGCCCACACATACAGGTACCGGGTATACATGTACACATATCGGTACATACAGTGGAATCTCGATAAGTCAAACCTCGGGGAAATTAGCTCAAATTTTGAGTTAAAGGGAATATACAGTACAACATTTGCAAACATCGAAAAACAAAACTACCATATTTTTGTATAAATTTCCAACGGTGGTCAGCCGACCACTGTTGGAAAAAACCTAACTTTATTCAACTACTGCTCCAAATTTACCATTTTTTTAGTCCAAATTTTGTTTGCTATTGGTTACATGTTCATGAACGGGTGCAGGCCAGCTAGACTAGTTCCCTTACCTTACAATTTTCCGACATCTATAAATTAATCCATTTTATCTTTAGTGGAGTCAGGGAACCAGACTGCTTAAACATTTTTGTTTTTCTTGGTTTTTCAAGCATTTTCAAACACAAAACTTCAAACATGTCAGTTAAACAATATTTGATCTATAAAACTAACCCCTCAAAATAGTTCATTTCTGAAAATTACAGCAAAAGCCAATGATGTACATTCCCTTTAATAAGCAGAAGTTTGAGTTATCCAATGGATTTTCTATTCAACAACAATTGACAGGAATAAGTTTTTGCTTTGAGTTAGAAGGGTTTTGAGTTAACAGGTTGTGACTTATTAAGATTTCACTGTACATCACGTATGTTGGAGTAGTGCATGTACATGTACATTTGTACCTGTTCATCAACTTGTTTAGAAACAGGTTGATAAAGTGTTCATACATATTACATCAATATGGGCATGGCAAAAAATAGACTGGTCACACCATGGTTTGTGTCGGTTTGTGTCGTGCGCATGCCTTTGGCTATTTGGGTTTCCTGATGAAATACAGCCTTACATCAACAAAAACTCTATTAAGAATGGATGGCACCATATTGGAGTCACATGTGGCCCGTGGGATACGTCAAAGCAGTTCCGTGAGGGATAACAGATATTGCTTCCACTCAATTAGCGTTCATGTACACGTATTCCTTTCGAGATGCGTGCCCCATACTCTTAAAAAATGTTTTCTCACTTTCAATTTGTATGGTTTTATTATTGGGGGGAAAAAAGTGTACTTTAAAAAAGTAAAAACTACCACCCCCCCTCCCCATATTTGATGTCTATCGTCTTGTAAGTACTTGAAAGTTATAAGCAGAATCAAGTCTTGTGTAAAAAAGTAATGGATGATCTCTAAGCATACAGTACCTTTCTCTATCCTTGTAAATGTTTACATGCATACGGGATCATTTGCTTTTCATTTGTTTTCAATTTCATGATCCTACCTACATGTATATATGCTTTTAGGGATTATGGATGGCCAGGGTTTAACATTAAGTCCCTAACCCCCTAGGACCTTTTGGCTAGGAACCATCCCCAATCCTGCAACATCCTCCAATTGCCACCAAGTAAAAATTGGATTCAACCTCAATCCTCCAAAATCATCTGTTATTTCTTGATTTGTTCAGTGGAGGGATGACCATAATTACCTCCATCCTTCAAACTCCAACAATCAAATTACTATAACTCAAAGCCATGATATTCCCTTGTTTCCCACAGTTCATAGTATAGACACAACTCAAGCCATGATATTCTCTTGTTTCCCACAGTTCATAGTATAGACACAACTCAAGCCATGTTTCTGCCCATTGGAGCTTCCATCTCCCTGCTCGTCATGTTCTTCTTCTTCGACTCCATGCAAATGGTCTTCGCTGTTTGCACAGCAGGTTGGTGTACATTTAATATACCCTCAGTCAATCAGTTGGCTTTTTTTTATCTTCCTTGGGAGACTTTCCATTTGTGATGGACAGGTCCCTGGGTCAAGTTCAGTCAGTGGCCATAGGTTAGTGTTGTAGAAGTGTCCGGGTCCCAGTTGCTGTAAAGAAACATGGTTCAGTAAATGTTGCGAGCAATTTTAATAAAGTTCCAATTTGTAAATCAAATCATCACAAAGTCATCTTGAGTCAATCACATGTTCACGGTAAAGTCAAGCAACAAACTCCATGAATATGAACTGTGACAAAGGAAGTCCCCTGTCATTGTCTCTGTAACTTGGTGCTTAGACTTGTGATTGGACTTGATTAAACACACTGAGTATACAGTGTTTAAAAACGTCGGTAAAGGGCAAAACCTAATTTGATTTATATCACCCCGACGCAAAATTCCATCTTATAATAGTTTATGCGGTACCCACTGCTATGTACATCAGATTCGAACCGGCCAACCGATCCCGTTAGCTCGGTGGTCGAGTGGTAAGACATCTGCACTAGAAAGCAGGAGGCCGTGGGTTCGAGTCCCACCTGAGTGATTTTTCCAACTTTCACTCGGGAGGTAACACACTGAGTATACAGTGTTTAAAAACGTTGGTGAAGGGCAAAACCTAATTTGATTTATATCACCCCGACGCAAAATTCCATCTTATAATAGTTTATGCGGTACCCACTGCTATGTACATCAGATTCAAACCGGCCAACCGATCCCGTTAGCTCGGTGGTCGAGTGGTAAGACATCTGCACTAGAAAGCAGGAGGTCGTGGGTTCGAGTCCCACCCGAGTGATTTCCAACTTTCACTCGGGAGGTAACACACTGAGTATACAGTGTTTGAAAACGTCGGTGAAGGGCAAAACCTAATTTGATTGATTAAAATTCCAATGTAATACTCCAGAAGGTTGCAGGCTTAATAGGCCCGATATTGCCTACGATGGCCAAATTACGATTTGCATGTCCTCAGTTGTTTTGCCATTACCGCATTTTGTGGGCCATGAACTTGAGGGTTTGTAAAAAAAGAGGGGGGGAGGGAAGCCGTGAACAGACAGTGAGCTCATATTTCTGTGAAAATTTGAATGAATTTTGGATGAAATTAGGCCCTAAAATTGCTTGGAGCGCAGGCATCATTATTCAAAATGGTGATGGACTTCAGGACTACTACACTGTACTTTTAGGGGTGATCATCTTTGGATGGAGTTTTGGCTCAAAAAAGTCAGTGATTAAATCCCCCCCAAAAATGGAACAGAAATGAAAGATAATGAAATAGGCTTTAATTTGATGTGTGTCTCGAACACCTCGTAGGGTTGTGAATATATTTCCTGAATTTTGGAAGTGGCCATACATACCCACCCTATACACTCCACATCTTGAATATTGGGCTGTGCTCAATACCCCTTTAATAAGCACATCTGCATGGCATCATGTGATCTGCCATGTGACTTTGGACAATATACTGCCCTATCCCTGTCCCATATAATAAAGCTGCAAACAGTGTTGGCTTATCTGTAAAAAGTTTTGTGTGGTTTTAAAGGTTGTAAAACATGCAACATTCAGTCACAGGAGATCAAAATCTTACTATCACGATCGTTCGAATGTGTCTTTATGCATTACATGTAAGGCAGTCGAACCTAGCCCCTTTTTTAAAGAGGTTGTGGAATGCTCGAAGACAATTCCGTCATTTTTCGGGTATATGTAGCCTAAGGTGTGATGAAATAAAAACGACTATTGTTTCTGTCACAAAATGAGTACAAAAGGTACTTTTGAGAGCTGTTTTTCAGGTCCTGTTTCGACCCGAACGTGCAATTTGTGTAAAAGTCGTCGTTGCGGGCAGCAAACAAAACACAGTAAATCGTGACGTAATAAACAGGACTCGTTTATGCTACTCTGCATTGGGAGTCCTGTTTATTACGTCACGATTTACTGTATTTTGTTTGCTGCCCGCAACGACGACTTTCACACAAATTGCACGTTCGGGTCGAAACAGGCATGACAGGACTTGAAAAACAGCTCTCTAAAGTACCTTTTGTACTCATTTTGTGACAGAAACAATAGTCGTTTTTATTTCATCACACCTTTGGCTACATATACCCGAAAAATGACGGAAATGTCTTCGAGCATTCCACAACCTCTTTAAACATTGGAACTCTAACAGCACGTACATGTACAATGTTACAAAGGAAATAGAGCATGTGCAAAGGGAACTGAGCTGATGACAAATGGTTCACCCTAAAGGGAACTATTCAAAGCCAAAAAAAAAATATTTAGGCCTGCACGAAAATCTGATTATTTGAAATAAGATCCCATAGCAAAAAAAACCATAGAGTTCACTACTCATTTTGTCAGTTCATTTTATTCATGTATTTCATTTTCTAATTTTCTACTCCGTTCTTTTCATTTATCCACACAGTATTAGCTACTGTAGCCTTTGCTTTTCTGCTGTTGCCGATGTGCCAGTATTTATTAAGGCCTTGCTCCAATGGTACAAAGTAAGTGAAGATATCTGTATATTTGTTTTCCCCCCTTTATTTTCCTGGCTTAATATTAGCATACATACAGTACATGTATGTCCCCAAAGTACTGTCCGTCTGACTGTTTTTGAAATAACTACAAAAACATGAAGTCGATTTTAATATTTTTTTAGTGTGCAGATACTTAATATCCTTGGCCCAAAGCCCTAAGAGTTTCAATTAATTTCTGTCACGCATCGCTGCGCAATGGTCAATTATTCACAACAACATTTTTATACACTGTAACCAAGTTCCTTGGCTTAATCAATTTCAGTGCTGTGTTGTGTGTAAGCTGTGTAAAATCCTGGGTGTTGTAAAAAAATGCTGAAATTGGTTTGGGATTGGAATCGTTTGCCCTTGAGCATTCAACTGAGGTCTTGCCATGATGACTGATAGCCAGGCAAATGATTCCAATCCCAACTGCAGCCCTTTTTACAACATTCAGGATTTTACACAGCTTACATAACACAGCACTGAAATTTATTAAGGCAAGGAACTTGGTCACAGTGTCCAATAATGTTGTTGTGATTGATTGACAAATTGTGTAGTGATGCGTCACTGAAATTAAATGAAACTCATAGGGGTTGAGACCAAGGAGTGTCTGCACAATCGACAATTTTCAAAATTGACTTCATGGTTTTGTAGTTATTTCAAAAATAGTCAGACGGACACTTTTTTGGGGGACATAGTGGATATCACTTTGTGCATGAATGTTTACCGATGATGTCATCTATAAATTGTCTGAACGTATCCTGGCCATAAAATTTCTGTAGGTCAGAAATTAGACCGGATACCTGAAAGTTTAGAAGACAGGCAAGCACGCTCAGAGCTCCTGAAATTGTATTGGTTGCTATGCACATTGTCAATTGTGCTACAGTCTGATTGGACTTTACATTCAAGAACACATACACACACAGCCCAGTCCCAACCTTGCAAAGTTTACGGTTCGCTCGTACCCCCCGCCCTGCAAACAGGACGCTGGGATACGCTGATGAGCTTCTCAGAATCTTGTGAAGGAAGTGGCCTATGACCTATGTATAAAGCATCTGGCTGCAGCTGTTCAAGACCGCAGTTAGAAAATGTGCGCAAATGCTATCTGAAATCGTCCCATAGAAATGCACACGTTCCATACCGGATGTGATTTCTGTTTCATTGCGGACCATGTGTACAAAATTTTGAGCGTCGCATATGCAATCCGACTGTTCGTGATTCGAAACGGAGCCTGAGCAAGTGACGGGAATTGTAAATTTACAACGCAGATAAGTTTTACAGAATTTCCTACATTATTACGCTTTTCAACGAAAAAAAAAAAATCTCTAAACTGGAATAAAAGAGTAATGAATCAGTCTTAACGGCCGTTTCAAACCTTGCAGAGTCATGACCGTGATGACGCACAGGTCACAGGTCACGCAAAATCCAACCAATCAGAGTGTGAAATCATTCGAGTATCCCAGCGTCCTGTTTGCAAGGCGGGGGGTACGAGCGAAAGTTTATGGATGCTTACATGAGTTGACCTCTCATCAGAGGTCATAAGGACAGTCTGCCTTCACCGTTCCCAGACTCTACATATCCCAGTGAGAGGTATCGGATGTTCACACATACATGTACTACCCAAATGGTTGACCGAGATCTGAATCCTCCTGACATCTCCCCGACCTTACCGTCCACCCACGTCCCACCTGCCGTGCCCCCATGCACACCCTTGTCACACCTTGGCTCATTAACGATGAATACCCTCCTCCCCAATCCTAGATCAGACAGACCAGTCTTTTGATAATTGATGGTTGACCAGCCCTCCGGCCTGATCCGGTTACCCACATATTCAGCCATCCGTGTACTCCCTTGATGAGTCCTGTGACCGAATTGCATGTTTATTTCACATTTCAGGGTCCCTGATAACTTGTGAAGATTATGAAACCATAAGTGGTGTTAAGCATCCGTGCTATAATCATATTGGCCCGGGGAACATGATTATCTATCTGCAATCCCTCAGGAAATTTTGGTCTTACATGTTAAATTTCTTGATCCAGTTTTGGCATTAGGGCATCCCTTTTTATTGCTGTGGTTCTCACTTACGACTGACCCTATTTTGGGCTCCCGACCCAAGAATTTTTCTTTTTATTACCGTCGACCCTGTCTGGAACCCCATTTACAAAAGAAATTAAAGATTGAGAAAATAATGAATATAAAATTCAGGCAATCAGGGTCTGTGTTATTTGAAAAGCTATTGAAAATGAATACCAGATTTTTACGCAAAGTACAGCGTATGATATCAACCAGTGGAATCCCAGAAGATCACCTTTACAGGCATGTCATGGCTGCCACTACAGCCAAAGCATAAGCGAGCTGCTTGGTACAGATACTGGCATATTGTAAGTCGACTAAATCTTGCCAAATGTGGTTTTATTATTTTATTCAGTGATATAAACTCTGATAAACTCGTTGCAATAATTAAACTGAAGACAATACGCACTTGGCATCATTTAATTTAGCCATCTATACAGGTGCGCCAGCAATTTTTTCCTCTTCAGAATATGATTTTTTTTCAATCGGCCGAACCTATTCTCTTCGCCATTGGAGGATATTGGAAGATCCAGGCTACTTCTGGGCAGGAGAGCTTAGAGAGTCAGGGTTAATAATTACGGACGAGCTTAAATATTTATTAATTTCAAATGTAAAATGTCAGTGCCCTCTCTCACAAATCTATTTTGCACATATACATATTTTTTTAACCTTGTCCTCTACACAACGCTCACCGGTACACATGTCTAGACGCCCCCTTTTTAATCATCCGCAGCCCAAAGATCAAGAGTCTTCTATTTCCTGTCTTGAGAGCTGGCATTGGCTGTCCCAAAATGGCGTCTTATTTATTGCTCAAACCGAACCGTGGATCAGGAGTACACAGCGCAATACTCTTCTTTTTTTTTAAGCCTCATGTTACCTTGTGATGCCCAGGATTAAAATCAAAACGCCTCAAGGGAGTGATGGGATTAATAATGAACTGAGCATGGGAGAAAAAACGGGTATTAGTTATTTAGAGGTTTGCTTGAAGAATTAATGGAAAGATGAGACAATCGCACAAGGGGGAATAGGATTAAATCGTAATAACTTGGATGGAAAGGCTGCTGAACCGAGAGTTCAAAAAAGAAGAGACACTAGAGTTTCTGATCATGATTGGGTTATAATCACATTCAGGAAGCAGCTTGGCACCTGTAATACATTGTATTACATTGTATTTATTCACTGATGAATACAAAAATATAGTACACAGGCAGTTTCAAGTGTTACGGGGAGTTAACAGGCTAACACTGATTAAGGAAATCATTGACTAAATTGCAAGATATCTCCAGTATAAATTATATAATATCCCTCCCTCTCTGGCTGGCAAATTCAACAAAACCAACTGGCCAGTCAAAATAAATCAAGTGACTGTTTTAAACAGTTGATTGTTCCCTTCTCATAAAAAGCAGAATTGACTGGCTGTGATTGTTGTGAAACTTGATACAGCTATGCGTTGACTTTAGGTGATTTACAAGCCTGCTGTGACTACCAGTAACATACACTTTTGTCTGTTGATGCATGGTCAGGATGCCTATAGAAACATGATCTGACTGTTCATGGCTAGCCTGCCTACAAGGCATGGAAGGGGAAGTGGCAAACATTTTTGACTGTCTGTGACTGATCAAACAAAGGGATGAATAAATGAACTTTATTCTACTAACAATAACAGTGTGGTACATACATGTACCATTATAATTCTTCTGGTGTTTTTGCTTTGAATGGTATCAAGATATCCCAACTTGATTTGTGTAAATGACATTTTGTGGCCCACTGTGAATGATACATAAACTACCATGATTTTCTTTTTTGAATGGGCAGAGCACGAGGAACAGAAATTCCAGAAATGTTTTGTGGAATATTTGTTTTGTGTTAAAAAAATATATTTAACGTCTACTGTTTCGTTTCATTTTAAAAAAAATAAACGTCTGTGTTTTTTAAATTTTTTTTATGAACAGGATTTCTTTTGGTTGCTGCGGCCGCTTCACCTCGGCAGAAATTATGTCCTTTTGTCTTGCTGTTATGCTGGTGTTCCTATGGGTCATGACTGGCCATTGGTTGCTGATGGACGGTAAGTCGTGAATATTTATGAAAATATGCAAATGAGCTGCATTACAGACTGTTTTGTGTGCGGGGTCCTAGCTGGCTATTGGACGGGTGTTGATTGTTAGTCATGAATATGTATGACATAAAATGATCCACTGAAAGTTTCACTTCCTATGGGGTTTGATTGGCTTCTTACAGATGGCAATTCATGAATATTAATGAAAATTTGTTGATGATCAAGTGAAACAGAAATTCATGAATTTCAGACAAATCATGCCGGTAGGTTTGCAAGGTTTTTTGTGTTCAGTCTTCTCTTTTATTGGAATGCTTATAATAAATCACACATGTAAATGAATTATAGTTAATGAAAATTTGGGAATTACTTTGTGTGAAACCTCATCGTAAGTTCTGTAGGGTCAAAGTATAGTAACTACATGTATTGCAGCTAATTTTAGTTTGCTTGCAGTATTTACCTATCAAAAGTGCTATTCAGGGAACATTAAACCGAAGTTCTTTAGAAACGACATGTTTTTAACTCCCATACATGTATTCTCCATAGCTGCTCAAAGTTCACCCTGTTGACATTAACTGCTTAATACCCAGTTGAGAAGTTGAATATTAACTCCCTCTCTGGCTAGTAATTTCGAGAAGGCCAGCCCAGCAGTCATAATAAATTAAGTGACTGTTTTTAACAGTTGAGTGGTCCCTGCCTTCATAAAGCAGGATTGACTGGCTGGCTATGCTTTGACTGTAGGTGATCGATGAGCCAGCTGTGCCTACCATTTACCTGCTTTTGTCTGTTCATGGAATTTGACTGTCACAGTGCCTACATGAAATATGACTTGACTGTTGGTGACTTTTCTGTGTAAAAGGCATGGCAGGGGAATATAATTGAATTGACTGTCTGTGGCTGATCAAACAATAAAAAATAAACTGTACTACCAACAACAGCAAAAATAAAAACACAATATCTTTTTTGCAGACTGTTCATCACAATATAATAAACATGTGAGCGACAAAATATACTTCAAAAAAATTCAGCGTATATTTCTGTAAACATATATCTGTGGATGAAAAGTAGACTCGTCTCTTGAGATTTAATATTTGCAAAATGAATTTTAAATTTGAGTGCCAGCATCAAGCCATCAAAATTGAGATAACAAAATAATAATTTGCTGAGTTTGCTGAGGGGGCATAAGGCCGTGTGGTGCATTCGCCAGCGCCATGCATAATACATTGATTGCCTGACGAGAAATCGCAATGAAGTCTCTCAGTTTTCTCCCCTTCCGAGGCGTTCTCCCTTCTGCCCCGAACTCATCCCTGTTTTTTTTCTCGGTAGCCACTCCGTTCGTCGCGTTTGTTTGGGCGTTTTTATCCGAGGTGCGAAACCTGACACCGCGTTTTTTGCAGGACCGCTCGCGTTTTTTTGCCGGAGATGCGTAGCCTCCTCAGCCATTGACCTTTTAATAATGTGTGTGGTTGAGAATTATTTAGTGAGTGTTTTTTTTTTCGTTTGAGGATTTTTCTTTAAGGATGTATTATTGGCAAATGACAGACTCATTTAATATTCGCGTTCGATGGAAGATTTACGTTAGACGAAAGCTTTGCCTCTTCATTATAAAGATTGGACACAATCTTGGCACTGCCAATTTTCCTTGCAACAGATCCATTTAAATTTGTTTCTGTAGAACGCCTGTAGATTATTATAATTTTTTTAAAAACAAGACATCTTTTATACATGGCCACTCAAAAGCCATTGAAATCTGTAATTGATAAGCATCACGGCCAGATATTTATATGTAGGGTTGCACTGCAGAATTTCGTTAATTGGTTTATAAAATACACCGGGACCCAAATTTATGGCGATGCTTAAAGGGAAAATACAACATTTGCAAACATCAAAAAATAAAACTACCAAATCATTTTGAAATACCTTGCTGGACTGTTAATGAATGACAGTGTAAAGCATCCTGTAAAATCATGGCACCTGGTATACTGTCATTTTCAAGAAAAGTGGTATTTCCAACGCTGGTCGGCCGGCCAGCGTTAGAAAAAACAGGCTTTTTTTTCAAATACTGGCCCCAATTGACCGTCGCACTTGTTTGCAATCGATTACACACCTACACGTATGAACGGGTACAAGCCAGCTAGACTGGTTCCCTGACCTTACAATTCCCCAATGTATGTAAACTGCTCTGTTTCTTCTTATATGGAGTCAGGGAACCAGACTACAGGAAAATGATTGTTTTTCTTGGTTTTTATAGCATTTTCGAACCCAAAACCTCAAAAAAGTAAGTGTAACTAAATTTGCTATATATTTCCAACCCCCCAATTCCATCCATTTCTGAAAATTACAGCAAAAGCAAATGATGTATATTCCCTTTAACACAGAATTCTTTGCTTATGCTCACCACTTTGCACTAACAGTGCTAGCAGAAATATAAATCCTTAAGTTACAGGATGTGCGCATGCGCTGAAGCCAAATACGCTTAGCGTAAGCAGGGAATCTTCTGCTACAATAAGCAGGGATTTTTGGCTAACGGTAAGCAGAGCCAGGAAATTGGGGCCAGCCCTCAAAGAACTGATGCTGTGGCAAAGTGTACACTTGTTTGCAACTTTTATAAATGTTCATTTACGTATGTCCCAACAAAATAATGATTGATACTTAAAGGGAATGTACATCATTGGCTTTTGCTGTAATTTTCAGAAATGAACTATTTGAGGGGTTAGTATAATAGATCAAATATTGTTACACTGACATTTTTGAAGTTTTGTGTTCGAAAAGGTTGGAAAAACCAAGAAAAACAAAAATGTTCAAGTAGTCTGGTTCCCTGACTCCACAAAAGATAAAATGGATCAATTTATAGATGATGGAAAATTATAAGGCAAGGGAACCAGTCTAGCTGGCCTGCACCCGTTCATGAACATGTAACCAATAGCAAACAAAATTTGGACTGAAAAAATGGCAGTTGAAAAATAGTTAGGTTTTTCCAACGCTGGTCGGCCGACCACCGTTGGAAATGTATACAAAAATACCATTTTCTTGAAAATGACTTCACACCAGGTGCCATCATTTTACAAGATGCTTGAGACTGTCATTTGCCAACATCCTAGTAACGTATTTCGTAAAAACTTGGTAATGTTTTATTTTTCGATGTTTGCAAATGTTGTATATTCCCTTTAATAAGATCAGATGCATATCTTGAAAACAAGGTTGATAGACAAAACTTAGGTGTACAATCTTGGGTAGGGAAGGAAAAGGAAAAGTGACGGGATCAGGAATTTGCTATGCTCACATATTGACAGAAAGAAATCAGCAGATTACAAAAAAAACATTTTATTTCATGCAACTCACTCAACAGTTCTGGAAACTTCAGCTTGTATACAGTGTATACATTGTGACGCATTAAGCCCCGGGTTCATCATGATTGAGTTGAGAATGGGTTAATAATTCAAATACCAACATCGTTCACCCTTGCAAAAACGCCATTCCTAAGCCATAATTGGCTCGTGATTAATATATTGATTTTAAGAATGGTATGACAGCGGGGAAGAGTGGCTGATGGATGATATCCGTTGCATTATAAAAATCAGATGTTATGAACTACAGCATTCATGATTGTTGGGAGTATACGTACATGTACATGGATGAAGCAATTCCAAAAATTCCAAAGCAGGAATAAAACTGTCACTGGTGATGCTGTGAAAAAGAAAACCCAAAAATCCTTGCATGTAGGTGGGCAATATGTACATGTATACATGACTCGGACCCAGACTCGAGTTCGACTCGAGTACCATTTTCCGTGACTCAGACTCAGACTTGAGTCACGATAACAAATGACTCAGATGCAGACTCGGACTCGAACCTGATTTAGACTCGAGTCCCATTTTCCCTGACTCAGACTCGGACGAGTCACGATAACAAATGACTCAGACTCGATCAGACTCAGACTCGAACCTGATTTGGACTCGGACTTGACCTGCATGACTCGGGACTCTACCAAAATTACCACAAATCACTTTTTTTTTTCAACAAGATAATCGCAAATTATTTTAAAGACGATCCTTTCCTGAGCCAGCGATACAGTGAGTGCGGTGCAGAACTAGAAGAAATGCATAGTACTGTACATACACAACGCGTACAGTTGGCTTGTTTCCGACATATTGATTTGGGAATGTAGTACTTAAAGGTGACTCGTGAGTCGGACTCAGATTCAACCTTTGTGACTCGAATACAAGTCTGTTTACATGTACAAGAAGTCTTTCTTAGTTGGGATCAACCAATTGAGACTTTTCATATCTTATTCACAAAAACAAATGTTTTAAAAATGTAGAATCTAGCATTATAAGTTTTAAAAAAATGTATAGTTTTTTTATTATTATTTTCTTTTTTTGTGGGCATATGCCCCTTGCAGCTGTTGCTCAAACACCATACAAAAGAACAGATGCAGACATGTACGTACGTGGTACACCCCCATGCACCACTACAGGCATTGCATTCTTTGTAATAATGGTCGGCTCAATATACTGCTCATTATATCCACCATCGAACCAACCTTGCAGAACTGATTAGGTTCTTCAGCTGCAGCCCATAGACAAATTCATGCATTATTCACAAGATAACGACGATGCTCACAAAAAGCAGGACACATACAAAATACATGTCGCTTTGTTAAAGTACAGAGTACCAAAATCCGGTATCTTTAAAGGAAAGATACAACATTTGCAAACATCCAAAACGAAATGATCAAATTACAATGTATCACAAAACATCTTTTACTGGATTGTTAGGGATTGACAGTCCAAAGCATTCAGAAAAATCGTGGCTCCTGGTGTGCTGACATTTGTAAGAAAACTTGTATTTTTCCAATGCTGGTTGGCCGACCAGTGTTGGAGAAAACTGTCTTTCTTCAAAAACTGCTTCTAATTTTTCATATTTAGTTATTCCGCATTTTCTTTGCAATTGATTCACACCTGTCATGGGGTACAAGCCTGCTAGACTGATCCTCTACCTTACAATTCCCC